CGACACGGTCTTCGTTGATCACTCGGAGGTTGCCAAACGACATATATCGAGGATCCCAGTAACTGGCAAAGGAGAACGTGTGGAAGGTCTTCAACCACCCATGGTCGGCTATGAACAGTGGGTCAGATTACCAGTTCTGGAAATTCGACAGGCTGGGGACATACCTCCGCCACGCTCGGTGTTGGGACGAGGAACGAGCTTGACGTTGGGCTGGAGAGGAGACAAGGCGGACGTGGATGCAGCTGAAGACATTGCAGTAGTAGTAATGTTCCGCTTAACGACGGAAGAGGTTGCTGAGCGGAGAGTGATACGCTGGATGAGTGAGGAGAACAGGATGGCGAATGTAGCGAGGAAAAGCGCAGAAATGAGTTATTTAGGTTGCGCTGGGATGTGAATCTGTTGCTTGCGGTCCTCGCTGATGCAGGAAACAAAGCTGTTGATGCCTCAGAGTTCACTATTTAGCCATTGGTATTTATACAGGGAGGAGATCGAGGTTCCGGACGAGCAGTCGTCGCAAATAAGCAAATGAGATGGTCCGACTTTCGCTGATGTGATCAGGGTCCGATTTTTCGGTAGGAGCCCGAATGACGTCGACGACTCTGTAAACTGCTACTTGGATCCACGGATATGAAGACTCTTCTAAAGGAACGGATGATAGAGTATGGTCAGTAATATGGGCAGCCAAGTCGTATATCGTTTGTCATTTTCAGCGAGGCTGGCGGGAGCACTGCATGCGGCCACATCGAATGGGTCACAAATCACGTGACAGATTCAGCCACAGGGGGAATTCAGACCCCCACAGAAATTCACTACCATCGACTCTCAAGATCGTTCCTTCGTCACAGCAGCAGGGGAGGAAGCAGTCAAGTATGAACCCCCAAAATTTAATGATTAAAATGGTGAATTCCGCAAACCATTCTCCCCACCGAGTGGCTCAAATTCCGCAGTCTCCCCCAGGTGCGCACAACCTCAATATCCCTCTCATCCCCCTCGAGCTATGGGAGCAAATTTTCCTCGTTCTATTTCATGGAGCGGTCGAGGACCATATTGCGTTGGGCCAGCCCGGTATTCTCCGCCAACCGTGGTATGGGCACGCATTTAAGAGCTTGTGGCTCACCTGCCGGTCCCTATACATGGTCGGAGAGCAGGTACGGAGGAGGTTGCACATCATAGCGGACCGCAGTCCACCCAAGGGCTCGCTAGACCTAGAGAGGTTCTCAGAATTTCATCGAGCAGGGCCTAAACCGGAAATCATAATGCAAGGCGCTGTCTGGAACATGCTCCCTATGGTGATCAAAAACGTCACCGGGTTGGAGCGACTGGAGTTAGTCAGCGCCTGTCTAAGCTTTTCCCTCCTCAAGACCCTCACCGGAAGCAGTACGCTCCGGTCCCTTAAAATTCGGAGCTGTGGATCATCCAAGGGCCTAGGACCCCTCGTTTCACACCTTCAGGATAAAGACGTATGCGACGTGATCGAGGTCCTACGCTTAAACGTCGTGCAACTGGAGCTCGACTACACCTCTTGGATTCCGTCCGAAATCCATCCAGAGATTCCGTTCTTGGCGTTTCTACCGGCCCTTCAAACGCTGGCCTTGTGTGGAAAGTCCTTTCGGGCCGTAACGCAGCTCCCCAAGACATTATCTCCCCCACCACTGCGACATCTTACCATAACAGACAATCAAACTTACTCCGTCAACAAGGAAGATGTACTATCGTACTTTGCCCGCTGCTCAAAGCTCAAGACTCTCGACGTCGACGACTCGATCCAAACGTCGGCGCTAGCCCAAGGAGACATCCCGGCGAACCTCCCAGACCTGATGGAATATAAAGGACCGGCAGAGTTGCTTACGCTCTTACATACTCCCAATCTGCGTTTTGCACTCGCCACGGGGTTCGATTGGGACGGTGGCGCTTGGATTCGCTCCCTCTTCACGGCGTCGCCGACGCTACAGAGTCTGGTGATCGAGTTGGCTGCGGGAGCGGAAGACCCGGTCTGCAAAGATATACAGGCGAGTGATAACTTCTTTCTTACCCCTTTCTTCAGTCCACACTCATACTCTTTACATAATAGGCTTGGGTAGAGCAAGCCGCGTCGAAATGGAGCCTACTTTGGCGGTCTACTGCAAGGTTCTCCCTCGTTATCCGCACGGCTCCTCTCGGAGAGTGGATTTTCTCGGCAAAAGGTGGCAGAACGGACGGCGGAGACCTGTTTATTGAGTACTTCCGGCAGCGTTGAATGTTCCGCTGCAGATCAACGAGCGAAGTCAGGAGGGCAGCGGGTGAAGCCGTCGTGGAGCAGATAGAGCAAGAGAATTCCAAGTCGAATGTCGTTAGGCTCAGAACGGACAAAGTAATCACTAGGATTTCAATTCTATAAAATACTAATACCATCTAATTGTCCGAGAAATAGTCGAGAGCATCCCCCCGAGGGGTTTTTTTTTGGGATTTATTTACTCGATGTCGAAGACCAACACTTCGGCAGGGGTCGTCCCAATGTTCTCGATTTGCAACTGTTCACCAGCGGCACCCCAAGCGAAGGAGCCGTCGCCCTCGGAAAGTTCGAGACCACCGTTCACGCGGATTCCTGTACACAAACGGCCTCATGGTCAGTCTCCAGTTTCAAAACTAGCGCAACACGGAGGACGTACGGTTACCCTTGGCAGCGTTGGTGTTGTATCCGCTTGTCTGGATGACGTGAACGTATGCTTTTCGTTGAGCCTCGCTTGATGCGGGAGTAGGGAAGACATGCTCGACTCTCTTTCCGGGGGTGAGAATAGTGGACTTGAGAGTTACGTTGCTCTGCACCGGTGCAGGTCCGCTTCCTTCCCGTTCCTCCTTTACACCTTCACTTCCAATAGGTGCAACGATTGTTACGAGCTTATCGGTCTTCTCCTCGTCGGTGAAGTGGCGAGTGAAGTACTTGGGCCGCAAGTTGCGAGTATGTGGCTCGGCCCAAATTTGAAGGAAGTGGACGATGGACTTGTTGTTGCGGTTGTACTCCGAGTGACGAATCCCAGTTCCTGCGGAAGTGAGTTGCACGTCGCCACGTTTGAGGATCTCAAGGTTGCCCATGCTGTCTTTGTGTTCAAGTTCGCCTGAGACGACATATGAGAAGATTTCCATCTCGCGGTGACCTATGGCCGGAAAAATAGTCAATATACAATTATTCCAAACGAGGTTTTAATTCTGAAGTCGGGACTTACCATGAGTTCCAAAGCCTTCACTAGGCTCAACACGGTCTTCGTTGATCACTCGGAGGTTGCCAAACGACATATATCGAGGATCCCAGTAACTGGCAAAGGAGAACGTGTGGAAGGTCTTCAACCAGCCATGATCGGCTATGAACAGTGGGTCAGATTGCCAGATCTGAAAGATTCAGCATACTAGAAACATACCTCCACCACGCTCAGTGTTGGGACGAGGAACGAGCTTGACGTTGGGGTAGAGAGGAGACAAGGCGGACGTGGATGCAGTTGAAGACATTGCGGTAGTAGTGATGTTGTGCTTAGTGATGGATGAGGTTGCTGAGCGAGAAGCGATGCGCTGGAGGAGTGAGGAGAACAGGATGGCGAGTAGAGCAGAAATGATTTGTTTAAGTTGCGCTGGAATGTGAATTTGTTGCTTGCAGTCCTTGCTGATGCAGGTAACAAAAGCTGTTGATGCTTCAGAGTCCGCCATTTGGCCATTGGGTTTTATACTGGGAGGAGTTCGAGGTTCCGGATGAGCAGTCGTCAGCAAGTAAGCAAATGAGATGGTCCGGCTTCTGCTGATGTGATCAGGGTCCAATGTCCCGCCGGTAGAAGCCTGGATGACGTCGATGATTCTGTAAACTACTACCTGAATCCACGCCGGATCTGAAGACTGGTATTATTTTGAGAGGAACGGGGCATGACTTAACATGTTCAGTAGTCGGGAAAGTCAAGTCGTACTCGTCTGC